TTGACAACAAGAAGAAAACTGCATATTGTGTTTATGATATGCTTATAATCTCTACAGTGTAAATAATTTGTTGTACATACGTTTACTACTTCCAAATATATGTATTATTTTGAAAACAACTGGAGAGCGTGCAGTTCACTTATCGTTGAATTTATCGCCAAGTCACAGTAGAAGAATCCTAAGCCCAACAGCAACAACCACACAGTATATATATTTATAATATTAAGAAGTAAAAGCCTTTAATTGACAATTGGATAACATAACTTGGTTTCTGACACACACTGTATTTGCAAGGGCATTGACTCTCTCTTTGGCTTGCAAGCTTCCATGTTGTAGTACAGGTCTAAACTGGGTGGTTTACTATCGATCGAGGTTAAGAAACATTAGTTTCTCGTTTATTAGAATTTCTGTCGGTATTATATTTCCGTTTGGTGGACCTAACTGTGTAGATGTTTTAACTGTAAAGCACTGCAAGTCTTGAGAAGGTGTGGTTTCTATTGAGGACTAGGCAGCTAACCCAGTAGACTTAGTCTATAATTAAAATGAGTTATCCATGTATTTAACTTGTGTGTTCTAATACTAACAATATTATCTGAATGATTAATAAATCATTATTGTTTATCAAAGTGAACAATTATTTCTTTAGGGGTAAATATTACATAAAACAATGTTGAAATAAATAAATATGTCACAAATACAACTATTAGAAAACTTAAAACGAGAAATCAGTGAGGCAATATTTAAAAAAATGTGTTAAATTTCAAACTTTACAATTAGTAAATAATAACTAGATATGATCCTTAGTTGAATATTTATTATACGCATCATGAAAGTATTGTTGACTGACATCTTAACAGTGAGGTAATGTTTTGAAAAAATGTACTAAATTTTAAGATTATAATGGGTAAATACTAATTAATATGATAGTTAGCTGATATATACATTGTGGAAGTATTATTGACTGGCTTCTTAACAATGAGGCAATATTTTTGAAAACAATGTATAAATTTTAAGATTATAAAGAGTAAATACTGATTAATATGGTCTTTAGTTGATGTACAACACGCTTCGTGGAAGAATATGTGTATGAAAAAAATCTGTTGATTAAGCTCTTAAATAGTACATTGTTAGAAAATATATTATTTCAATTTTATTTTGAGTGCATTGTTACAGCTCGAGGATTTTTACCTTTGTTTTTGGTTATATATTCTTTCCTAATTTTAGGAGATGAGAACACTATGCTTTTGTCAGTTGCTAGAGTTGCAGAAAAATATAGACGTGAGTATGAAACCTAAAATCCTTTAAAGTTTAGATGCGAATACAAATCCTAGAATATTTTTAGCTTAAGATACGACTAACATTTTAGGCTTAAATGAAGCGATTGACAGAAAACTGGACAAATGACCAACCTTTAATTTTCTACTTATCTCCGACGAAAAAGAACTTGAACTTTGGGAAAGTTTCTCTTAGTTTACAAGTAATTAAGATATTTTTACTTCATTTATTGGAATATCAATTCAAAATTGATTAATTACATTCAGCTTTACAAATCGCTTTACAATAATATATCGCGCGACTTTGTAGCCTTAGCGTTGTTTGTTTTGCCCCCCAATGTCACAGCGGTATGTCTACGGACTTACAACGCCAGAAACCGG